AATCGACGCCGGCGATTTTTCCAAATATCTCCAAATTTTTCCAGATTTTTTCCATTTTTTTTTTTTCACTCCAATATCGCCTCTCGAAAACACTTATTTGTGACACCCCACAGCAAATCGTGTCCGATCCATCAGAAAGGTTTCGAAATCAACGCCGGCAATTTTTCCATATTTTCCCGGATTTTTTTTTTCTTTTTCTTTTTCTTTCAGACCATCGCGCGAAAATAACCGAAATCTAGTCAGAGCGCCAGAATTTGTGATTTTCCCGGCGGAGGCGCTCGTGCAAAAGAGTTATCACGAGTACTCGATGGAAAACAGCGAGGGGAAATTCTCGAAGTCCATTCAGAGAACGTATTGGAGGTTCATCTCGATCGAATCGCGATTTAGGGGTAAAACGGGAGCGCCGCTCTCGGGCGGAAATCTTCCGCAGTCGGATGGCCGGTCCTCGAGGATTTCCGCTAGACTCGAGCCCGGACGAAAACTCTCCTCGGCGAAAACAAGGGGGAGAAATATTCGCCCTTTCGGACGCCGCGCCGCCATAAGAATGACACTTCCCGATGAGAAATCGACCCGCAACCCCCGGGAAGGGGGCAGGAAATTTCGCGTCGCCGTTGCTCGATGGGGTGTGAACTTTCCGGGCCGCTCCCGCGAAATATCGCCGGGTTAGTTTAAACTTGCCGACTTTCCCCGCACTTTCGCGCCCTGAGACGCTCTCGGTGATGCGGGGGCAAGTTTTCCTCCGGCGGATCCTCCAGGGTTAATTGTCGATCCGGATGCGAGCGACCTCGCCACCCGCAAGGAAAACTTCCTCGCTTCCACCTGATTTGATTTAAGGATATTATAGAAAATGACGTTCCTTTAATTCTCACCGCCGATTGTTCACCTACGAATCCTTTGCGGGGTCTCTGAGAAATTTCCTCCAGGATGTCGGGTGGTTGATACACATCGTGATGTCTTTTAAAAAATGTAAATAAACTCTCCGTTTAAAATGTTAGGTTAAATCGACGTTGTTGAAAAAATTCTCATACCTCGTTTGATTTTAATCCTGATTTTAATTAAATTATTTAAATCAACCCGAGCATGGAAAAGGTCGTCCTGCAAGTTTCATGAAGTTTCGAAGTCTCGAGATGAGGCGTCTTATATCGGCGTCGCTTTTAAACGTCGGCCACCCTGCGGGAAGATAAAGCTTCGAAAGCTTGACCGAGGGGTGGTATCCCGGGGGATGTACTTTTCGAGATTGAATCTACGGCACTCTTCATCGGCGATATTCCGGCTTTTAAGTCGCTCCCTCTCGTGCCGGAGGAACTTAAAACTGGCGACGTACTCAGACACTCGCCTTTCGGAATCGCCAGAAGTAACGTCGCCTTAGTATCCGCGAATGAGTTCCGCTTTCGAAAATGGCGTCGCGGGGGGAGGGTTTCCACAAGGGGTGCCAAGCGAGAAGTTTCGCCATTGTCGAGAGTGCCGTTCCGAAATACTCGAAACACCCTCTCCTCGACTTTCACGAGCTCGATGTGAATTTAAACTGGGGAAACTGCACCTTCACCTCCTCTCCCTAGAAAAGTCCCAAAGTGTGGGGAATTCAAGACCCCGCGAACGGAGGACATTTTCTAGAGCCTCGATCGCGACTTCGAGAGTCACGGGGGTTGGTTTTAAGATCCCTGGATTTTTTTCCGAGGCAGTTTCCGAGTCCCCCGGAACCGAAGCGAGTCCTTCAGCGAGCGCACTCGGGGGCAAAGAGCCCCGGCGAACAATCTCAACGGGGGGAGTAAAGTCTAAAGCCGGGAACAACGTAATTAAAAAACATTCCAGGGGAGAAGTGCTTGGCCAGCCGCGGGACAGAAATAAATGCGCGGTCGGGCAGGAATTTTAATGAAGTCCGCTCTCGTTCGCGCGTTCCGCCTACCGAATTTACATTAATTTTTATATCCCGCGAGGGGTCGCGGCATCGGAGGAACGGGGAGAGATCTCATCCCCGGATTCTCCACCCGAGTGGCTCCATTCTTGCTGGGTGGACCTCCGTTCGGGGGTGCCGAATTTCCGACATTTCTCAAGGTCCGGATGCCTCCGTGGCGATGGTTCCTAGAGGATGCCTCGGTCTTGGTTTCCGTTTCCACGGGATACGAGATCGCGGGTCCGTTCCCTTTGCCCCCTGGGGGGCGCGAACGCCCCTCCACCCCGACGGACTCCCTTGACGTTGACTCTTTCCGGCCGATCGATCCGTCGATCCGGTACGCGGTCGTTATCGGGCCTTTTTGCAGTATTAGCTGTATTTATATATGGTCGACCAGGCTCTCCCCCCAATCCCCTTTAACGAGCTCGATAAAATTCCCTCGGCACGGGGACACGTCCTGCCCCCGGTCCTCTCCCGGTACACACAGTCGCCGTTCCTCCTCGCCGTCGTCGAATGTTCCCCCGGCTTATTTACAGCGAACATTTCGCCGACGTCTTCCTCCCGTAACCGTAAACCGATTTCATGCCTGGCCGGGCTTAATCTTCGCGAAGCCGCCGTTAACGGCCGCGATCCCATACGCGGGACCGATCGCGCCGTCGAAGCCCCATGGCCACTGATATTTTTAAGGGCGCTCACCACCCCCGCGATTTCCCGTACCCCATAAGGCAACGATCGCGAACGTATGTCCAAACCGATCGAGACGATACGGCTCGTTTGCGTTGTATCGCGCCCTTGCGAATGTACGTTCGAAATCTGGCTCGCGGTTTATTGGGTAATATGCGAGGGGAAAAAAAATAGATATGCGGAGGAGTGTCAAAATCGATATTTACGCCAACAGCCTAATCTTTGAGCGGGTCGCGAGCGCGGGATCAAGAGTCGCGTATATGTGCGAGATACACCCTGCGGTATCTTCTCTGAGTCTCTTTCGACCCGATGCCAGGGAAAGACGTAAAGATATCTCGAAAGTGTCGCATTCGGGCTAAGTCGCGCATGAAAGTAAATATCCCGTATCGGCTCGCTGATAAATCCAGCTTCCGCGCGGCTGGATCTCCGGGTTCCCTCAAGGTCGTCGTTGGGGGTTTTGGTCCCCGAGGGGTGGAGGGGACAAAAATCGGACAGCGATTTCGCAGGAATTATGTCTCGTAGAAATTTCCTTCGTATTTGGTGCCGTGAAATATTGCAGAAATAAACGTCGGAATTTTCCTCCGGCCGAGTGGAGGGCAACGGGGAAGACCGCTCGCGTTCCCTTGCGTTCCCTTGCGTTCCCTTTTAGGGGGTGCGAAAGGGGCATCCGGAGGGTCTATCGTTTGTGAAACTTTGCACCCAGTTTGGAGGAAAGGTTTATAAATATTTTCACGCTTTATGTATGTAGAATGATCCTTTCATATCACCTTAAACGCGCCCGTCGAATCGAGTCCTCGTAAATTTAATCAAGCGTTTAGTCAAGTCGATCCCCTCGCGGGGGCAAAATTTCCCGACTCGATTTGCGCCCTGGGACCGGGAAACATGGCGCCGAAGGTCTGGCCCTTTCGGGGACACTTTCAATGCAAATAACCATCCTCCATCGAGGAGACCCGGAGACACCCACCTCCGGACGTTGCCGAGGATGCGTCGGTAGCGCTTTCTTCCCGGGACCCGCCGAGATTTGCATCGCTGGCGCGTTTTTAATAGAACGTCCCGCAGCTTCGAACTCCCTCTGGACGCATTTCCGGGATTATTTCCCCGCGAGGGGCGCGATCCAATTCGCTCGATGGGCCGAACCTCGTCGACGTCGCTCTCGACGTCATCCCTGTCATCGGCATGGCCTCCGATCGGTCATCCCGCAGTCATCGGGACTGTCGACCGCGAAAGACCTTCCACCCCCCAGGGGGTGGACGTACCCCCTTTCCGGATCACTCCCCAATTTTTTCTGCCATAGTAAGGTATCTATGGATACGTCATAATCTTATCTCGACACATATTAGGATATCCGCCACATCGTGTACAAATGTCATTCTATTAACACGGATATGAAATTTCATAAAAAATTAAAATTAAATTCTATACGAATGAAGGAACTATAACGACTGCGAAATGACAGTGTCGCGAAAATCTGAGACAACCATACTAATTTGTTTGCTTTTCCAAAATTCAGAGGGAAATTGCCCTCCCACTGGGGGAGGCAATTTCCTCGTTACTCAGCGCGTAAATTTCGTCTGCACCGGTGTCCGACGATTTGTCTTCTCGCAACTTTTTTTTTCCCCATGTTTTTTTTTCGTTTTCTGGAAACGAGAAAGGGCCAGTGCATATTGTAACACCGATCGCGAAACCGCTCGGCAACGAGCCGCGTAAATCGACGCGCAACATTCGGCCTGCCTCGTATTTTCGCTTCGACGAAGTTCCGGCCGACACATCGGGGAAAGTTTGGACGCCGCGGATGCTAATCCTTTTGTGCGATCCCTCTAACAAACGCGGCCACCTGAAAAACTGCTCCCCCTGTCGAAAAAGCAGCCGAGGGGGCGTCTTTCTTCCCGGCGTTCGGAGTGCTCGGGGCGCGAGATATAGAAAAGAAGTGCACCTTCCTTATGTCTCTCCTTTTCCATTCCCCGGATAGAAAGACAAATGTTTGACGCGGCTACCGCGGGGAATATAGGAATGGGAGATGACCCGGAAATTGACGGATCCAGCATATGTCGGCGATATTTTAGTCGACCGTCGGAGACCTCACCGAACTCGTAGTAGAAAATAAAATGGCGGCCCATCCGGTATATTCGACCTCCACTTTCCTACCTCGGTCAGGCCTGGGAAACGTTCCCGTAGGTGCATCCCTTTCAGCGGGATTTTTCGCGAGTGCGTAAATTTACACGGGCATTTTTATCAGTGGGGGATCATTTTTATCAATTCAAGAACCGCAACGGATTCGCCCCGAGTCGACGATTCGCGGATGGTTTTTCACCGAAGACGTGTTTCGCCCACTTTCTCGCGGCTCAGGCAATATTCTTCGATATTCTCATGATCGCCTATTATCGCAGGAAATAACGGAGCCTGTATCGATTTTATGTCGTAGTTTAACTTCGTTGGGAAGCTGCTGGGTCCCAAGGGCAACTCCATGAAGCGGCTGCAAGAAGAGACCATGTGCAAGATGGCGGTCTTAGGGCGAGGCTCCATGAAGGATAGACAAAAGGTACGTTGTTTTCTCGGACTATCTCGCCATTGTGCCCGGCTGGCTCGTCATCTCGTCAGATGGGATTATACTTAACGTCGACGAGGGTTGACGTTACCGAGTTTGCGACCGCGCGACGCTTCGACGACCCGGATGAGAAAAGTCGCCGTTATCGTCTCGGATCCTCCATTTTCTTCTGTTTAGCGATTCACCGTCAGCTTTATTTTCGGATCGTTCCTCACACGAGGAGGTTCCGTATCCGCGAGAGGAGGCGCGTAAACGCACGCAAGTAACGCCGCGTCTGTTCTCCCTCGATAAGAGGAGCCGCACCTGGGCCGCGACAGTTTTATTGCTCGTAATAATCGGCCGGGTGGCGAAACTTACTTTGAAATATGACGCTTACGCGGGACTATAATTTCCCGGATGTTACGGGAAAGCACGAGTGAGCATCCCCCGTTAACGGGGTGCATCCAGAGGGGCCGGAAACACCGTTGTCGGCTCGATTTTCTATCCCCAGCCTGGGAAAATGGGCCGGCTCGAGCTGAGAAATTGCAATCGAATTTGAAATAAATCTCGCGACTATAACAGGAAAGAAAAAAATGTAGAAAGAAATCTGGAGTCGCAAATGGAAATGGACTCTAGCGTCTGACCCGCTTCACCGCGTCATGGAGAGTTCCCTGACCATTCTTTTTCCTTTCTCCGTATAGAAGACGGCTCGTAAGTAGAGAAAGTAAGTGGACGGTCAGTCTCGTTTTCCGCATTTCCTTTTTCGCCGCGACTCGACTTGGCCCGGGAATGTACACGTATACAATATACGCGTCGCAGGATTTATCGCATTCCTTCTCGTTCCTGTTTTAATGCAAAGTGCGCGAAAAGGGACGAAAATAAATATCGGGTAAATACCGGAGAGGAAGTATCGCTCGGTACCGATTTTTTGCCCGCGCTCGGTCCGTTCGTTTTTTACTCGCGTTAGGGATTTACCGATGAATACCCCGGAAAGGGAAGATTATAGTTTCGCGATGTCGCGAGTCGGGGGCGAATCGGGTCGTTCCGGAGTTTCGGGAAAGGTCGCATCCGAGCTGGTCCCGAAAAAGCTCGGGAGCTTCGCGGAAGTGTACTTCGAAGCTCCGATAATCCACGGTTCGAAAACGGCTTGGGGAACACTCGGGAACTCGAATCCTCCCACTCCCAGGGCGGAAGTCCGGCGAATCTCGTTGCTAACGTGTGCCAGATAAAACGTGATCGATGGGTCCAATCGAGACGCGACTTCCCGCTCTCGGGGGTGCCGAATTTTCCCTCCCCGCTTCCTTATTATTCCCCTGACGGATATTTTTGCGAATTACTCGGAGAAAGGTGCCAAGTGGAGTCGCGCCCCTTCCCGAGGATGGTTCTAAAATTAGAGCCATCTCGACTGCGCTTATCACGACGTATACAGACGTCCTGTACTTTTTCCCCTTTCACGTCCGCCCGGAAGGGGTGGAACTCGTTAACCCGAACGACTCGCTTACCCGGGCAAAAGTATCGCCAGCGTTTCTTAATATTTCTTAATGAAATGCCGCTTAGCTCCTCATTAGGGCGGGGGCAGCGGGGCCGGAAAACGAGAGTACTTAGGAAATTTAATACTCCTCCCTTTGTCTTCGGGCCGCCTCGTCGGGAGTCATCGTTCAACGAGGAGAGCCGAGGCCGAGGGTGGTTATGATTTGGCCCAACCGAATTTAACCCCCTGGGTTTTGTCGAAACAATCTCCCGGTGAAAAAACTTAAACGAGAATTTGGCCCAATTTTTTCCTCTAAAATCAAAAAAATTAAATCGAAGGATTTTGTATAAAAGACATTTTCAATGAATTCCTACATATTTCCTGTAAATTTTGAGTATACATACATGAAAACGCTTTAAATAATAACCATGTTTTGCAATAATCAGTCACCGTAGAAAGGAATTTTTTTTTCAAATAATCGATTTCGTTAAACGGTGTTTAATAAAATCCCAAAAAATTCGCAAAAACCCGGGTCCGTAAACCACCCATCCGAAGTACCCCGCGATGTTTTTTTCCGCAACGCGTCTCGGCCGCACGGAGACAGGGGGCGTCCAATTTTGCAAAAGCTCCCGGTCGGCCATTTTTCGGACCCGGCGAGGCGAAGCCCTCCTCCCGTGACCCGTTAAAGCCGACGTCTTCCCGGAGCTCCCGCAGGACTCCTCGGGAAGACGCGTCGAAAGCTCCTCCACGGTACGCAGCGACAAATGGGATTAGTTTATCGCGCGATGACACTTTTACGGTATTGCACCCCCTTGCAGGGGAGAGGGGAGGAGACGTGCGCACCTAGGGCACCGTTTATTGCCTCGCGAGTGAATCCCCCGACACCCCCTCACCCCTTACGGAACGCGAATGGATGTTTGCTCGATAATTCCGGGCTTTGCGCCGATTACCGGGGCCTACGGTCCACCTGAACGGCCCCAACCCCCCGGAGAAGGGGGGGCCAATTAGTTCCCAGGAAAGAAACCATGGGACACCCCGACTGATAGGCGAGACCGTGCCATGAATTAATGATAAAACAGGTACAGGATCTGCCTCGAGTATTGCGATTAGTTTGACGAGCAGGACAGGCGTCCCTCAATTTGCGCGGAGTATCCCTTCCACGTGGATTCGTTTTACGCGGATGGAATTCCCGTAAAGTCCCTCGGGACGAAGGAAAGAAATATTGGAAATAGGAACTAGCACGTGTAAATTTTGGAAATACATATTTATTTCAAGTAGCTCGAGGGAGGAAAATAGTTAAAATAAATAACCGAGTAAATTGAGGGAGGGGTGTATTTATCGGTATATGGGGATTAACGAGGAGGATCGATGCTGGATCGAACTATGGTCAATGGATCCATGGCGCGGTGCAGCGACTCGTCGAAACTGCCGAATGCAAACAACGACAACGCTCGCGAGTAATTTCGCCATGGCCGATTGGCGAAGTTGGAACGATCGGCGACGAATCTCGGTTATTAAAATGGATCCAATATGGTCGAGTGGAAAACAGGGGGACGGCGCGTCGTTGGGGGGCGATGTTCGACCGTTAATACGGCGACGACCGACTTCCTGGTCCGTCATCCGAGGGGGCAAGGGAACCACTATTAGCCGAACTTCGAGGAATCGATCCCCGGGTTCGATCGATCGGGGGACGGCTCTCGGGCACCCCTCCGGGCGTGAAATTGGCCCGGGATCTGCGTATCTTTCCCTCGCGCGATTTCCTCCCTTTATGCCTCCGGTTTCCTTCGGCTCTCCTTCGGCGATCGCTTCTCTTCGCCGGAAACGAGCCAACTTGGCCTGGCGACGGTGAGATTTCCTGAAAAATTCGACATCCACGAGATTGGAATTTTTTTTCTCTGGCCCGAAAAAAAAATATATATATAATGGCGAGGAAGCCCGCAATTATGATAATTGTAACCTTATTGCGTGATAATATACGTAATTGTGACGATATAATTTTTTTTTTCCCCGCGTTTCCTCGTCCTCTCGTATCGCGGATCGAGGTGGAGGCGCCGGTAAAGCGTAACTCCCCAAGTCCGAAACTTATTTCCGAGTCCTCGTCAAAGTTCCGCGTTACTCCGCGGCTCGGCTCGTTTGCCGACGTGCCGAGGTAGATACGGATTAAAGACAAAGATGAAACTTCGCCGGCGTGAAGTTTTACGCGAGCCGCGGCCTGGCGGACTTTACGACGCGACTCGGCGTGAATTTTAAGGCGAATCTCCGCAGACACGAGCCCGGAGATCGGGAATAAATTCCCGCGCTCGCTTCTGGCCGATTAATTCGACGAATTGGGCGCTCCAGTTTAAAGTTCCCTTCTCGGCCGATCCGCGCCGGAAATCCGTCGATAATCCGAGCGAGGAGGACTTTCCGCCACGCCGAACGTACGGGCGAGAGATTGCGCATTAAGGCGGGAAAATAGGGAAACTGGGAAGAAGCTGGGGAAAGAATATGTCGGCAATCGTGAGACGTCGACGGTGCAATACGGGAATGGGGGGGGGGCCAGGGGATAAAGTGGGATTTGATATTTCATATCGCGGCCCCGCGCCGTTACCGACGCGGCGATTCACTGCTACAGGATGTATATGGAAACGCGGACAGCCTATACCCCTCATAACTCAAATTTGCATTTACGATTACGCGCCGGGCATATATGCGCCAACGGAGGACGGTAACGTCCCCGTGTCCCGAAGGAAGCTAGATAGCGACATTATTTACGCGTCTCTGCTCTTTGTGTGCTAGATTAATAAAAAATAATCGGCCCTTTGTCGAGGATCCAGAGCCCAGGGACTCCCGGGACTCCCAGGACTTTCAAGGCTCTCGGTTGGAAGGATCTCCACCCTGAGAAAAAATATATCAGTTGACTGACATAAATACATATCGTTGCCCGAATCTTATATACTTGCAAGAAATAATTATTCCGTTGAGACAAAAAATCATATCGTCGATTTAAACGAATCTTGTTTGGTTTTTTGAGTCAACCTACTTCTTTTTTTCGCGGTACATGCCCGGCTGATTTGTCTTCAATTTGAAGCCCGTCCCGAGGGAGGGCAAGATAAATATGTAGGAAAGGAGATCGTTCGGGTGGACAAGTACAAGGAACAAGTTCGGGGGCATCGTTCAACGGGCAAACAGTAACTCACTACCCATAATCAGATTTGGCCGAGTTTGCCCGCGCAGCTCGGGGGGAAGACAAATACCGAGGTTCTCCGCTTTCCTTCCCATTTTTTGGGTCTTGCTCCCTTTTTACCCCGTCGCTCCATTTTTACTTCGAAAGTTCCCGCTCGAAGGAACGGCGGAATCTCGAGAGAATCGGCCCTCGAAATGCCCCGCGGTGCAGGAAAAGAAAATGTCATCGAACCGAAGAAATATTTCTTTAAACAGTGCCAATTCTGTTAATTCGTGGAATAATTATTTAATTCAAATAAATTCGAATAAATCGGATGCAACGTTTTTTTTTTTTCGGAATTGTGAACGTTTCTTTGAGTCAATGAATTTTTTTTAAAGG